CAAGTACACAAGCAGGTTAAAAATAAAACATGGAGAGACAATTCACCATGTTCACATTCTTAAAAGGGAAGCTGGACTGACTTATCAGGAAAAGTTGATTTTAGAGAATATTACCAGGAAATAGTCTTTTCATTAAACCAAATCTTTCAGTTCATCAACAGGACACAATCCTAAATGTTTATGTACCCTATAAGAGAGCTTCAAATCACATTAAGCAAAAGTTGTTAGAAATGCAAGGAGAAATAGTGGGATCCACAGTTATAGGAGATTTCAACACCTCTCTCAATAACTTGTAGAACAAGGAGACAGAAAACCCATGAGAATGTGGAAGAGGGGGGTCGCTGTCAACCTACAGCTGTGTCCCAGATGGCCCCCCCAACCCTAGAGGGACATGTGGTTTTCAAGAGCTCATAGGATGTCCACCAAGAAAGACAATATTCTGGGCTGTAAAACAACCATAGATTTAAAAGGATTCAGATCCTACACATTGTATAAGAGCCTCAAATTAGCAAGCAGTAACATCCCTGGGAAAATCTCCAAGCATTTGGGAATTAAATATCACACTTTGAAAGAATCCATGGATCAAACAAGAAATCAAAAGGGAAATCACAGTATTTTGAACTGAATGAAAATGAAAACAAAATTCCCCAAGTCTGTGGTATCCTGGTCGCTGAAAGCTGGAGGGCAGGTAGAGGGGGACCCATCGTGCTGGAACCTGCAGTGCAGACAAGGGTTCCGAGGTCCTCGGCTTCCACCTGAGGAAATCCAGACAGACTGAACCCAGGGTAAGAACAAGGGTGTAGTATCTGAGCAAAAGTCAGTGTCATACAACAGTCATAAGCTCAGAAGCTGGTCCCGTGGGGGTACCCTTGCTGATGGGAGCAGAGCAGCTGGGTGTGGGCCCAGCCCCGAGTGCCTGGGACCCTGAGGGCCCCCCTGGCTTGCTCTCTAGGGAGCCGGGATGCTCCTGGGCAGCGCCAAGGCAGCGAGCAGGATTTAATTCTGTGAGTAAGTTCCACCTCTAGGGCTTCATGTGGATAATTCTGTCTTGCCGCTTTTCTTAAATTTCATCAAACAACCTTCAGGAGCGCAGCAGCCAAAGGTGTGCAGGGGGCCGAGCTGCATTTGCCGAGGGCAGGGGCTGAGTCCCCGCAGCCTGCGGGGTTTCTGCGCTCAGCACTTGTTACCAGTGTTCACCAGGTGGTTTGGGGTTCAAGAGAAAGTGCACAGGGACTGAGGCGGCCAGGACGGACTGACGGGGCGCACCAGAGCGCCGGGAGGGTAGGGGCCGTGTGCTGAGCGGGCCGCAGGGGTTGTTTTCCTGGGGGCTGCCAGAGCAGCTTTTGTCTCCCCAGCCGGCCTTGCCCCCCCTCCGCGGGCTCCTTGAGAGATCCAGCCACTCTGGCCTCTGCTCCTACGGAAAACCCTCCTTAAACCCCGGACCCCTCAGCGCGTCCTGCTCCTGGTACTCTGCGCCGCGGGGGGACGACGGTGCTGCCTGCGGTGTTGGCCTGCGTCCGCCTTCCCTGAGCCTGAACCTGCTGCGACCCACATGCAGGCCCTGGTGTCCCGGCCGCGGCCCTGGGCCCAGCCAGCTCCCGGAGCCGCCCACGGGTGTCGAGGCCTCTTGGGACGTGGTGAGAGTCCCTGTCCCGTCCACGCCCGACCAGAGTGGCTACGGCAGAGAGCTTGCAGCCAGAGGCTGCGGGGCCATGGAGACAGGTGGCAGCTGGGGACGCAGGACACCTCGGCCCCTCTGGGACAGGGTCTAAAGCTGAGCACCCACAGTGCGACTGGCAATCACATCCTGCAGTGCCTACAATGCCAGCAAAACCCTGTCCACACATGCTCAGAGCGACCCCAGCTGTGACGGCTCCGGCACGGGAAAGCCCACGCCCTCCAGCAGGTGTGCGGGTAGATGAGCTGCACGTCCTCACCACCGCACGCCCGCTGCTCCGAGAGGAAGCGGATTGTGACACAGACACGCACAAGAGCTATGTGGGTGTTAGGGCCAGAGTCAAGGGGCCGCACGTGGTGACTCCCTGCGCCATTCCCCAGGCCACACGGCTTGGCCACGGCGCATGCGAGGCCATCCTGCAGGTGGTGGGACAGTTCCCTCCCTGCCTTGAGGGCAGCGCTGGCCACACAAGCCCATGCAGGTGGCAAGTGACAGCAACGGCACACTTGCATGGAGGCAGTGTGCAGCCTCAGCCTGGGGTCGGCCGCGGTGCACAAAGTGCAGGGCCCTTCCGCTTAGCTGCATTCCGCCTCACTGTGCCAGTAGAATAATGCCCCAGACATGCCCATCCCAATCCTGGAACTGGGAGTGCGACCTCACCAGACCCCAGGTCTTAGCAGATGGGGCTCTGTGAAGGACTCTGTGGGGGGAGACTCTGTGGGGGGAGACGTCCAGGAGTATCTGGCGGGGGGGCTCAACCAAGCAGAGGGTCCCCCTCAGAGGGCCCTGGAGGGTGAGTGGGGGAGTCATGGCCTCGGGCGTGTGGGGGCGCTGTGCTGGGGGGAGCGTGGGGCAGGACCGAGCACCGCCACCCTCCCAGCGCCGTCCCCCAGCATCGGCTCACGGACATGGGGCACCGCTGTCAGCAGAGGCGCTGGCCACCAAGGCTCTTCCTGCTGCCTTTGTGGCCGCATCACAGACGTCCGCGTCCTGTGTGCGGCGCTGCCTTCGCGCTAGCGGCCAACTGAGCGGCTGACCTGTGTGGGTCCCGGTTCTGCGGGTGCCCTCGCTCCCTCTGGCCGCCTGTCTGAGGTGTGAGCCGTGTGTTCTTCCAGGACGCCAGCAGCGGGGTGTGCCGTACAGTGGGCGTGGGCAACGCCAGGGCACTTCCCACACCTGCCCCACTCGAGGGCCCCCCCGACGCTATCTCCGGAGCTGTTCCAGCAGGAGGGCAGCCTGCCACTCCAGCCCTACCCCTTGACAGTGGACACAGGAAGCCACCCATGCCCGCCAAGCCCGGGGCCCTGCTCGAGAACCAGCCACTCAGTTGTTTGTTCAAAATCTCCCCGGGGCTCAAGTCACTGAGATGTGCAGTTTGCAGGGTGCTCTGTTGCCTCGTATCCACCCCCGCGGGGGGACCGGCAGTCGAGCCGTCTCCGCGGTTGTGGCAGCGCAGGTGGGGGGCCAGGGCTGCACAGGCCTCCAGATTGGGTCCCCGCGCAGACTGCGGGCCACCCTGCTGGGCATAGCACTCACATTGTGGGGGTCGTTCTTCCAGAACCAGTGACCCCAGTGTTTGTCGTTTGGCTCCTGGTGCAGAAGCCACTCAGGCTAGAAACCGAGTGGAGGAGAGAAGCCCTGCCATTGCCTTCCAACAGTCCTGGAAGGGAATCCTGTTTTATTTTATCCTAAGTCAAAAATGTAATTTTTGCTCTTGGAACATTTCTCATGTTTCATCATGCAGCGATTTAAGCCTATCACTGGCTTCTTGGAGATGAGCCACGGGTGAATGCGGGGAGGCATCCTGCGTGCACGCTAGGGGAGCTTCCTCACCATCCATGCGGCAGTACGTGCCCTAGTGCAGCCTTCTGCCTCGGTTTCTCCTACTCTTTCTTTTCTTTAACATTCTCCGTGCTGTTTTTTTTCTGGGTGAACGAGAGTAACTTTACTGTTGGACAAAAAGAAGTTTCCGGAGGCAGTCCCAGGCCCTCCGGTGGCAGAAACAAGCGTCTCAGCCAGTTTTTACGGTCCCCACCCAGGGCGACTGTGCGGCAGCATAACGCTGAGTCTCTGCAGGCGGGGCAGTGCCCTGAGAGAGCTGGCACACGTGAGACACCGTCCGTCGAGGGGGGAGAGGGAGGCCTGTTTAATGTGCAGCAATAAATAAAGCAATTTCCTGACAGTCTCGTAGGTGTGTAAGGCTAGCGTTTGCTCAGACATCCAGTGTGCGCCAGACACAGGAACATCATGCCCCTGAGCCTCCCTGGACCCAGAGGCCCTCATTCCTCGGTGATCCAAACGAGAGCACCCTGCAGCAACTGGGACTGGGGCGGATCTCACTAGGGCTACTCCTCTGGACTGTGCTGGTCATGGGACAGCACTGTCACACACTGTCCCCCTTGGGCTGAGTGTTGTGGAAGGTCTCTGCCCTGGGCTGAGATGGGGGCTCCTCGTTCTTCCAGGGCACTCTGACGCTTTGGCAGGTGCCTTGACTCGCCCGGCCCCACCTTCCCTCCCCCATGGTGGGCGCCTGCGGCCTGGCAGCTCTGGGTATGCAGGGAGCCACAGGAGGTGTGAGGAGCCTGCAGATGGTGCCACGCAAGGAGCTTGTGGCTCCATTTCCTCCCCCATTCCTTTCCTGGTGGCTAATGAACAGGGAGTTGGTTTGGCATCTTTTTTTATGTTCTAAACAAAGAAAGCACCAAAAGCACAGCCAGCTGCTGCTAACCACTGCCCGCTGACCCCCGACCTCTCACCTTGCCTGCTGCTGCTGAATGACCACTGACACCGGACCTCTCACCCTACCCACTGCTGCTGATCCCCGTCCCCACCGGGCGCCCAGGGAAGAGCTCCGGGAGCAACCACGTACCCCCGGCGATGTGCCTGCGCCCTCGGTTTCCCGCAAGCCTGCCGGGCCAGAGCCTCAGCACATCTCTTCGCACATCCTTAAGCATTTTCTCCGCCCTGCCCTGCTGGACCCCAGGGCAGCCTCAGGCCTGCGTCACGGCCCACGTGAGAAGGTGACCAACCAGAAGGACCCACTCCCGGAGACACGGAGCGCACCGCGTTCCCCAGGAGCCTCCCTCGGTACTCCTAGGGCCCAGGCTGACCACCGCCCTCCGCAGGGACCCTCGCTGCGACCCCCGCACATCACACCGCCGGATGTGCCCTGATTTACGCAGTCGGGGCACGCCGGGCCCTCAACGACCGCGCGCGGGGACGACGGGGCGGTCCACCTGCACCTGCGCCGGGGCGCGGCCCGCCCCTTCCTCCCTCCCGCCGCGCCCGGCCCGCCCCTTCCTCCGCGCCGACCCCGCCCCCCGCCCGGACCCTTCCTCTGCGGCGCCGGCGCAGGCGCGTCCCCGCAAGCGGAGCCCCAGGCCGGCGCTTGGGGATGGCGCGCGCACCCCGGTGCCGTGCGGTGCGCGCCCTGCTGCGGAGCCGCTACCGAGAGGTGCTGCCCTTGGCCACCTTCTCTCGGCGCCTGGGGCCCGAGGGCCGGCGGCTCGTGCGGCGCGGGGACCCGGCGGCCTTCCGCGCGCTCGTGGCGCAGTGCCTGGTGTGCGTGCCCTGGGACGCGCCGCCACACCCCGTCGCCTCGTGCTTCCGCCAGGTGGGCCGCCCCGGACCCCTGTCGGGCCTGCTGGGTTGGGAAAGGGAGGGCCGCGGGGCACGAGGCCGGATGCGGGCTCCCGGGCGCCCCTGATCGCGGCGACTCTGGACCCTTCCCCGCAGGTGTCCTGCCTGAAGGAACTGGTGGCCAGGGTGGTGCAGAGGCTCTGCGAGCGCGGCGCCAGGAACGTGCTGGCCTTCGGCTTCGCCCTGCTGGATGGGCCTCGCGGCGGGCCGCCGGTGGCCTTCACAACCAACGTGCGCAGCTACCTGCCCAACACGGTGACCGAGACGTTGCGCGGTAGCGGCGCGTGGGGGCTGCTGCTGCGCCGCCTGGGCGACGACGTGCTCACCCACCTGCTGGCGCGCTGTGCGCTCTACCTGCTGGTGGCCCCCAGCTGCGCCTACCAGGTGTGCGGGGCGCCGCTCTACGACCTCTGCGCCCCCGCCGCGGTTCGGCCCACCCGACATGCGGACAGGACCTTGGAGGTCCTCGGACCCACGCGCCAGGCCAGGGGCGGCAGCGACGCGGAGGCTGGGAGACCCCCAAGCCTGCCAGTCCGGGGCGCGTGGCAGCGTCGGGGCCGCGCTAGGGCAACTCCGCCGCCAGCCAAGAGGCCCAGGCACAGCCTGGCCCCGGAACCTGAGCAGGCACTGAGCCACAGCAACCCTCCAGCGGTGACTCCTGCCGGCGCCACCGCGGAAACCGCGTCTTTGGGGCGCGGACCCCCCAGGACCGGCCGGTCCTTCCAGTTAGTGGGCTGCGGGCGCCAACCCGGCTACCCACCCACCCAGCGGCCCCAGGGCACGCCCGGGCCCCGAACATATGCGGAGACCAAGCGTTTCCTCTACAGCTCAGGGTGCAAAGAGCGGCTGCGCCCCTCCTTCCTGCTCAGCGCCCTGCAGCCCAGCCTGTCTGGAGCCCGGACCCTCGTGGAGACCATCTTTCTGGGCCCGCATCCCCAGAGGCCAGGAGCTCCCCGCAGGATGCGCCGCCTGCCTGCTCGCTACTGGCGGATGCGGCCACTGTTCAGGGAGTTGCTCGGCAACCATGCAAAGTGCCCCTATGGCGCGCTCCTCAGGACACATTGCCCGCTTCGGGCCACCAACACCCTGGCGGGTGCCAGTGTCCAAAAGCACAGTGGAGTGGGCGTGTGTGCCGCGGAGGGGCGGATGGCGGCGTCCACAGAGAGTGCGGGCCCACGGTGCCTGGTGCAGCTACTCCGCCAGCACAACAGCCCCTGGCAGGTGTATGCACTCCTGCGAGCCTGCCTCCGCCGGCTGGTGCCCGCTGGCCTCTGGGGCTCCAGGCACAATGAGCGACGCTTCTTGCGGAACGTAAAGAAGTTCGTATCTCTGGGAAAGCACGCCAGACTCTCGCTGCAGGAGCTGACCTGGAAGATGAAGGTGCAGGACTGCACCTGGCTACGCCGGAGCCCAGGTGAGCAGCTCAGGTGAGGGGGAGCCTGGTGCCCCTGCAGACCATGCCCCACAGCCCTGGTGACAGTTGGGCCCGCCTGACCCAGAACTCCTTCCTCGCTCTGGGGTAGGCAACTCCATCGGATTTCTCTGCCTCTGATCTGCTCTCACACGTAGTTCACATGAACCTGCAAGATTTTCTGGGTTCAGGCAGATTCTGGGCACTGGGCAGTTGGACACAGGACCGTAGGACGTCTTCAGAAACTCCCCTGAGTGTACCTACAGGTTATTCACACTCCCTTGTCAGACTTAATGGTTTATCACCTTGAACTGGTGCCCCACTGATAGAAATGGGGGCCGGGATGAGAACCCGCTTTTCTGGGGGTGTACTTCCCAGAGGCATCCGGTGAGCCAGTATTTAAGATGTGATCATGCATCTGCTCGGGAGGGGGCTGAGCAGCGTGGATGGGCAAATACAAGACTGGGTCCTTGGGCAGGGACCCCAGCCCATCAGGATGGAAGGGCCACCAGGGAGCAGGCAGGCAGGAACCAGGATGCTCTCATCCATCTCTGGACATGGACATGGGGTCTTTCTGACTTTTCTGGGAAGCTGGGCCTGGGGTGTGTCTCTGCTTGGCTTTGGGGTTCAGCCCCCCCTTGGCCAGCACCCTCCTCAGCAGCACCCCAGAAGGGACCAGCCACCCTCACTGCTCTTCCTGATGGGAGACTGGCAGCAAGAGCTCTCCCTGGGATTTTGCCATTTGACCTCCAAACTCCCAAGACATTTAAAACTTCTAGAAGGAAGATGGTTGCAGAGGCCCCCTTTACAGCCAAATTTGCCCTCCAGGATGCACATTACAATCTCCTGGGGTGGGGACTTTAAAAATGCCTGTCCCTGTCCCCAGAGATCTCCACTGCAATGGCCTCCAGTAGGAGGTACGTTTTCCAGCTTCCCAGGAGCAGCAGGAAGGTGGTGTGGATAGCCAAGGTAACCTTCCAGAGACTTCTTTAAAGTTTTTTTTAAATTGTGAGAAAAAAACACATAACACCAAATCTACCCTCAGGACAAAGGACTGAGTGTACAGGACAGTATTGCTAAGCATAAACATAATGTTGGACAGATTTCTAGAACTTTCTTTTCTGGCATTACTTTTATGCCCATTGGCCAGTTATGCCCTGCTGCAAGCAAAAAGGTGGGTAAGCCTCAAAGATGGTGGCTGTCATGTGACTCACTTTGCTCTTGGGGTCCCAGCTCACTTTATGAAGGGGGACTGGCTCTGTGACTCCGCCCGATGATACACAGGGTTCCACTGTGTCCCCATGTCCCACAGGTAGGGGTGGTAGTGGGACTCAGACCCTGGGTCCCCCTGGTGTCCTTGCTTGCTTGAGCTGTGCCCCTGGCCACTTAATCCTTTCTGTGGCCGTGGCTACACTGCTTGCTCACTGGCTGAATGAATGGTGTGGGAGCAGTCTTGGCCTCTGAGCCACCTTTTCTGATCATAGCTCTAGGTGATCACCTCTCTCACCCCTCCTGCTGGAACACCCCTGCCTCTGTTCAGGCCATCTGCCCTACCAGGTGCTATGTCCACAGCACCAGGGTCCCTGTGCCTCTGTCAAGCCAGCCTTGACCACTGACCTGTCCTCCAGCCCCCCCACTGAGTCCCAGTGGCTCCCAGGTCTCCAGCCAGAAGCCAGCCTGCCAGGCTGCCCACTTATGCTGCCAAGTTTGCAAAAAGGATTCCTGATGGAGACTTGGGAGGTGCCTCATCCCCTTGCTCACTGTCTTCCCCCACCAGGGCCACCTTGGGCCGGTGGCAATCCTTGTTCCCTTAAACTGAGCACACATTGCTTCTCACTGAGGCTGAGCTCTGCAGCAAGACACCTATGCCATTGACTTACGTCTGACCACATGATTGCGTTTCCTGAACTGCAGTTGGGGTGCCATCCATTCTGCCAAGGCCCCATTGACTTTCAGAGTCAAGGGCCCTGGCTAACCTCGATGGGTTCTTTGTTTTGGATTTCATTAGTTCCTCTCTGGTAGAAATCCCTGCTTCCATCTTCTACAGATTCTGTCGTCTTCTTACCGCAGTCTATTTGGCTATGTGTTTTCCTCTTAGTGCTGCTTTGGCTACACCCCATGCTTGATGTGTTACTAGTGTTACTGCATGTTTTGATATCAAGCACCTGCAAGTATTTACTAGTTTCTTATATGATTTCTTCTCTCATCAGTACATTACTTAGATGTACGTTTTTTATTTTCCAAATACATGGATATTTTAAGGTACCTTTCTGTTACTGATATCTAACTCAGCTGTGTAGTGAGCTATTCCCATAAGTGTTCCTTGTGGATCTGAAGGCCTGTGGCTAGTTGTTGTGTTTACATCGGGCTATTTATGGTGCCACGTGGAACTTGCTTATCCTTCTGGATGCCCAAATGCTGAGGGTGCATGGTCTCACAGTCTTGTCAGTTTTTTCTTGTTCTTACAGTGTTTACATTGGGTTTTATTAGGTACATACACATTTTAGAATTTTTATCTTCCTGATGAATGTCTAGTGACTCTCTTTACCATAAGTCTGTCATAATGGCTCATAGATCTGCCACCATGGTTTTCTCTGAGTCGTATTTACCTCTGTAACATCTTCCCCTTTAATTTTTATCTTCAACATTTCCATATCCTTGCAGTTCAGGTGTATCTTTTTAACAGCCTGCAGCTGATACTTTAGATTTATTTTCAGTCCAGTCTGACATCTTTGTCAGTCACCCAGAGAATCTGTTCTTCCTCCTGTGAGCATAGGTGCACCTGGATGCATGTCTTTTATATTTTGGCCTGATACCCTGCCTTCTCCGTGTCCCTGTTTCTCACTAATTGCACATATTCTTGCTGGGTTCTTATTCTCATCCTGCCTCCTGGAGATTAAATTACACTCTTCCTCTCTTGTCCTAAACAACAGAAGGGCCTCGGCACATGTTAACCTGCCAATTTATGCTGGTTCCCCAACTAAGTTATGTCCCAATGGTTGGCATTGCTATTTTCTCTGGTCAGTGTTTACATAGCCCTTCTCCACCATTTTCTCTTTCTGTTTGCCATTCCGACTTCTGTCCCAGGCCTTCCTTGCAATCATGTTTCTTTCGTGTCAGTTATTGATGGTAAAGCCCCCTGGGACTCTCTGTGCCATGGCTGCTGGTGACCCCTGTGGACCTCTTCTTGTGCTGTTTGCAAGTGCATGGAATAAAATGCTGAGCGCCACAAAGCCGCTGTGACCCGTGGTGCCTGTCTGGGGCCCCGGGGTGTCTGGCATCCCTTAGCTGGCACGCGCCCTGCTCTCCCTGTGTTCGGCCTGGGAATCCCCAGGCATTTCTGAGTCTTGCTGCTCAGTGGCAACACCTGATGTTACACAAACCAGCAATGGACTGTGGGTCCCCAAGTGGAGGCTGTGTCCCCGCTTTCTCCGTCCTGCTGTAAACCAGGACAAGATGGATCTCCTGGTCATCTCTATCCACTAAAAATATAGCGTGAGCTATGCATATAATTAAAATGTTTTTTGGTAGCCACGTTTAAAAAGCAAAGAAAGGTGAAACAGTTACATATTTTATTAAAACCTAATATAGCCAAGGTATTATCGTTTTGACCTGTCATCAGTGGAAGCACTATTAACAAACTACTGTACATCCCTCCTCTTCTCAGAGTCTTTCAGACCCAGCCATGGGTTGCGCATCCCGTACACCTCGGTCCAGGCCTGCCCGCAGCTGCCGTGGCAGACGGGCTGAGTCGGGGAGCTCGAGGGGCTCTGGGCTGAGGCACGGGTTCCAGGTCTGTCTTGTTTCAGGGGCTCGCTCTGTCCCGGCTGCTGAGCACCGTCTGCGAGAGGCAGTCCTGGCCAAGTTCCTGTGCTGGCTGATGAACACATATGTGGTTGAGCTGCTCAGATCTTTTTTTTATGTCACGGAGACCACATTCCAGAAGAACCGGCTCTTCTTCTACCGGAAGAGTGTCTGGAGCCAGTTGCAGAGCATTGGAATCAAGTATGTGGTCGGAGAGCCACTCGGTTATCTCTTCCTCTGCTGATGTGAGCCTGGCGTCCAGCCTCCATCCCGCTCCAGGGACCGTGTGGCACTCAAGGCCAGGAGCCAAGGGCCCTGACCTGGCCTACTCGCAGTCCCATGCTAGGTGCTGACTCTGAAGCCCCCCTTTTCTTTACTGTAATGTCAGGAGTTAGGGTTCAGTGACCTCTACGGTCTTGACAGCAGAAGTTTACATGGAACGGAAACAATGGGTTGGGCAGACTGGCCACTTATCCCCGCCATACAGCTGGACCCTATTTTAATTCACACAGAATAGGTAAGATTGTGTCACGAGACCATAAAGCCCCATCTGTTTGGTTTACTGCTGGACGTGTGTGGGGAAGAGGTGTCCACTCTGAAGCAGAAATTTCCCAAAGGCTGAACTGCTTCTGAGTGACCAGAGATTCATCTCAGCTGCTCAGCAGCTGTTTTATGTCATTTCTGAAGGACTGTGGTAGGACACTGATAAGCCCTGATTCTCTACGGCCAGGCCTGGCCAACGCCATGTCCACGAGGGCTCAGTAAGGACCCAGGGGTGGGGAGACAAGGGCCCCCAGGCACATTTGGGTCACATTCATGCCCTGATCAGGACATCTGCAGAGGGAGCAGGGCTGGAGCACCCTGAGCCACAGGGTGCTGGGGCCCCTGTCCTGCATCTGTTGGAGGGTCTACAGGCCTCTCATGGTTCTGAGTTGATACCCATGGCAACCTACTTAGTAATTTTTAAGTGTCATGGCAGTTGCTCTGCAGTGGCCATTTATCCTCCTTGGGGGGACCATGGACACCGTGCCCTAACAGATGGGTATTCGAGTCCCATCTGGGCTGGGCTTGGGTACTGCCCTTTGCTCCTGGGGCCACCAGACCAGGGGTATTCCTCAGCTCCAGGCTCCCTGTGGGTGGTTTCTGGGGACAGCAAAGGCTACGGGTGACAGGGAGCTGATAGGTCCGAGGGGAAATGGTTCTGTTCCTTGGTGGGGGCTGCACTGAGCACCCCCACCCCCGGCTCATTCCATGGGGAGGAACACAGGGCCTTGTGCCCCAGGGTCCCACCTGGGCCTAGCCTGCACTCCCCAGGGTGTCCTGAGCACCTGCTGTCCAGTTGGCATCTGGCCAGAGCTGTGGCATCCTGGGCACTGTGCCCGAGACCTGCCAACATCACAGGCATTGGTGACTGCCAGCCCTACCCACCTGGCATGGGTGCCAAGCGGGTTCCATGAGGTTCTCTGTTTCAGACAGCACTTCAATAGCGTGCAGCTTCGGGAACTGTCGGAAGAGGAGATGAGGCAGCATCAGGAAGCCAGGCCCGCCCTGCTGATGTCCAAGCTCCGCTTTCTCCCCAAGCCCAGTGGACTGCGGCCAATCGTGAACATGGACTATGTCATGGGCGCCAGGACATTCCACAGGGACAAGAAGGTCATCTCTTTTGTCTCATTTTAAGAAATGCTTTTAAACCCCAGCCTTGGTGTTACGGACAAGAGGCTGGGAGGGGCCCTGTGGAGCCCCACGCACAGGGCTCTGCTCCCAGTCCAGAGAAGCTTGTGGGGAGGCTGGTCCTCATGGAGGCTGGGTGGCCCCGAGAACCCACAGGGCCCCTGGCACAGGGGGCCCCCTCTGTGCCCCGGCTCCTGGGATCCTGCTGCTGTGGGGGCACTGTGAGCCAGGGACAGACAGAACCAGGCTGCTCACATTCTGAGGACCCACGTAGGACCTTGTCCTGCAGGGTCTCACCCTGTGGGACCTCGCCCCATGGTTGGTCCCCAGAGTTTGCCCTCCCTGCTCTGGGTAGCCCCCTGTGGTTTGGCCCCACCGTGGGTAACCAGCCCCCTGTGGGTAACCCCTCTTTGGTCAGCCCCCCCACCCGTGTTTAGCATCGCCAGGGCAGCCCCCATTCCCCCGACAGCGTCTCTGCCAGCAGGTCTGGTCTATTCCGAGCACCCCCAGCAGTGCTGAGGTGACTGATTTAGGGGGCCTCCAAATGAGGAAGCGAGGCCGTTGCTATTGGAGCCCCTGGTTTGGTCTGAGTGAAGGTGAACTTGCCTGTGGCGGGAGTAGGAGGTCACCCCAGAGGCAGCATCCCTCCTCGTCTGTTGGGGGGTAGAGTCGTGTGTAGCTCCCTGCATTTTGCATACACAGTCTCCAGGGACCCGTAAGTCCCTGGGGGGGAACTGGGTGAGCAGGGGCAGGTGGAAAAGTGGGGAGCTGCCTGGACCCCACAGTTGGCAGTGGATGGGCTGGCCTGGGGCGTCCTCTGATGCTCTCCGCCCTGAGCTGGCCCTGCAGGTCCAGCATCTCACCTCCCAGGCCAAGACGCTGTTCGGCGTGTTGAACTACGAGCGGGTGCAGCGCCCGGGCCTCCTGGGGGCCTCTGTGCTGGGCATGGATGACATCTACAGGGCCTGGCGCTCCTTCGCGCTCCGCATGCGGGCCAGAGACCCAGCATCCCAGCTGTACTTCGTCAAGGTGGGCGCCAGCCCCCTCCCAAATGAACCAGTGGGTACGTCGGGCCATGGGAGTAGCCCCACCAGTGACCCCGCATCTTGGGCCCTGGCCGGGGTGTGGGGAGTGCCAGCCTTCATGCCCCTGTGTTCACCCAAATGAAGCGCCCCTTTGTGGAACCACATCCATGTGCCACAGATTCTCCTGGGAGCAGGGAGGGCAGGGGACCTCATCTTTTGCAGGTGCTTGCCTCCCTGGGACAGAATCTGTGCCACCTATGCTGGCATGGGCTCCATGAGTCTGCACCCTGACTCCATAGGGTCTCCTCTTGGGCCCTTCAGAGGGAGAAATGCACCTGGCTCTCCCAGTGCCCAGGGCCCTTAGTACCCAGGGCAGCCTCCGGGGCCTGGTCCACAACCTGCAGCTCACGGAGAGGACGCAGGCCTCCAGGGGTGCTCGAGGTCTGGAAGACACAGATGTTTTGGCAAGAGCCCCGCGGTGGGTTTTTTGTGGGCTCCCCAATCCTCCCGTGTCCAATTCTCCCAAGTTTACCAACTGCAGGTCAGGGCCCAGCAGCTCACAGCAGTGGGACTCGGGAACTCGGTGGCCACAGGTGCGTATGAGCAGCCTGGAAACAGGCATCTATCCCCGTGTAGGTGGACGTGATGGGCGCGTATGATGCCCTCCCCCAGGACAGGCTGGTGGAGGTGATCGCCAGCGTGATCAGGCCCCAGGAGAACACGTACTGTGTGCGCCAGTATGCTGTGGTCCGGAGGACTGCCCGTGGACATGTCCGCAAAGCCTTCAAAAGACACGTAAGACCCACAGAGATGTGTGTGCCGTGAGAGGGAGAGGCACGTCTGTGGAGTGGGCACCTCTGCCCTGGGCCCCCTCCTCTTCCGGGCGTGCTGAGGGTGCTTCCCCTGACCCCACTGCCGGGGCACCTCACACGTACTTGTTCATGTTATCTCGGGCCTCTCCACCTGAGTTCCTGTCTCCTGCTGTCCCTTCTCGGTACCTACGCACTGAGTTCGTGCAGACAGGATGCCGGCAGGCATGGAGCTGTGTGTGGCTTTCATTGTACCCTTAGTCCTCTAGAGCCCACGGCTGGCCACAGCTTGCCAAAGAGCCGTGTGTGCTCCATGAGCTGGTGCTGTGCCGGCTCTGTGGGTGAGGAGGGGGCTGTTGGGCACCTCACCCAGGACACCTGGGCCTTGCTTGCTGTCTCTGCCCACCTGCAGTGCTGAGGGCACCCCCTCCTGGTGGCACTGGGATCTCGGGCCTCAGCAGGCTGGAGAAAGGACAAATGGGGTCCAGCTGTGCCTGAGGTCTGGTCAGCAAACAGGGTTCCTACTGGTCCCCATTGGCACGTTGGAGTGTGCCAGGGCACAGGGAGGCAGAAGGGTGTAGAGGGGATGGGGTTCCCCAGAAATTCAGGAAAGGCACATGTGGGAACCGCTGCACATGGCTCAGGTGAGTATGGTTTGCAAGTCCTGAGTGTGAAGCGAATACAAGCTTTTGCTTCTGTGGACACAGATGATGGCCCCTGCCCACATCGAGGTCAGGAAGTGTCCACGGCCCTCAACTCCCTCCCTCAGGCTCCCACGTCCGACCTCTGCTGTGCGGACCCGCTTACCTGCCCTGGATCCCATGAACGTGAGCTCAGGCGGGACGCCCCCGTCCTGTGTCTCCTCCACTGCCCAGCAAGCCTGGGACCTGTGGGCACCCAGAGCGGCAGCTCTGTGTGCTGCTCACCCCGGGTTGGGTTCCGCATTGCAGACGCCGTGGCGCAGTGCGCTCTGCTGGCGGGCATTCAGTTCCAGGGCTAGACAGACTGCACAGTGCTGCCACGGGCATTCCCAGGATGTCCCACTTCATGGACAGAGGCTCTCATTTCTGTTGGGTGGATCTTCTGGGTCTCAAGCAGCTTTTAGCTTTAGGAGATGTTGTCAAAGCACTGGCCCGAGTGGCCATGCCAGATCGCACTGCTGCGAGCTGCGGGAGACACTCTGCATTCGAGGCACACGTCCTGAGGGGCATGGGGCTCCGTCCTGCACAAATGTGATTTGCTTTTTTCCTGGGATCGGAGGTGCTGAGCGCCCTTCCTGCGCTGGCCGACGGAGCATCTCTTGGGGAACACCTGTCACGCCGTCTCCCCCACATGTTGATTTGCTGGGAATCCACGCGTGTTGCGGGCGCAAGGCCTTTCCCAAGCACACGGGCCTCAAACATCATCTCCCGTCTGCCTTCTCAGTCTCAGGCAGAGTGCTGGTGAGCAGAGGCTTCCCCTTCTGACGGATCTGCCCACCGTCGGTGGCTGAGCCTGTGCCCACCTGCACAGTGGGCCGGCCCCCAGTAACTTCTTGCACATCTTTTCTTAGAAGTTTGCTTCTGGCTTTCACAGTTAGGTCTAGGACCCATTTGGGACTGATTTTTATATGTGGTAATTTTAACCTGTTCCTCTGCTTAAATCTGGACATTTTCTACAGGTGTGTCTTCCAGTTCATAAACATCTTTTCTCTGTCTCTAATCATGTTAGCCCCTTTTTGAAATTTTAAGTTCAGCTATCCTGTTTTCCAGTTCTGGAAACTGAAATCCCATTTTCTCACAGATTTCAGGTCTCTGGTCAAATTCTCCACTTTCCTTTTTCTTAATAAATTAAACTACCTTTTCTTTATTGATTTCTAAGTCCCAGTCACACAGTAACTGCCTGGCTACGGGTGGGTGTCTGCTGCGTCCCTGCTGTTTGACTTGTGGCTGGTCACGCATCTGTTCTTTCACGCACCTCGTGGTTGGTTTTCTGAGGTGCCACCAGGCTTTTAAACAGAACTTCCCAAAGTGTAGGCTCTGCATGGTACTGTTTCCCTCCAGACGCCCCACCTGACAGCTGGAGTGGTAGACCTCTGTGTGAGGTCAGCCAAGGCTGTGTGGGGCTGCCTCCTCCATCTCACCCTTCCTCTGTGGCTCTGTGGCTCTGTGGCTCTGCCCTCCCCCGTGGGACTGCCCCCCCAGGAGGCTGCATTGACCGCACTCGGCCGAGCTCCAGCCTTGCTCTGCCTGGGACCCCAGCAGTGTCCCTGAGCACCTTACACGGAGGGTCAGCAGACTGGGGGACTGCATACTACTGTGCCTCACTTCTCGGCAGCCCCCCTCCTGGGACCTGCCCCTCAATCCTAGCTGCTTGGGTGACCCTGACCTCGCAGCTCCCACCCACCATGGAGAACGGACAGGTGCAGGGGGAAGTCCAGGAACAGGTGGGACCCCAAGGTTGTGGACCCCAGGTGGCTTCATCTGCGTTTCATCGAGGGTCACCGGGGGCACACTATCCTTGGGGAGGTGGCCAGTGGGCCCCTGTGGTTTCACTGCCCTTCCCTGCCCCTGGGCCCCACCTTCCTCCTTTCCCAAGCAAGCTGCCCAGCAAGCCTCCCCAGGGCTTGTTCCCGATCCTGACTTGGCCTCCATGCTGTGACCTCTGCTCTGGTGCCAGGTCAGGGGTGGGGCAGGGAGGCACCCACCTCCTCAGCCCTGTGTTCTTCGCCAACAGGTGTCCACCTTCATGGACCTGCAGCCCTACATGAGACAGTTCGTGGAGCATCTGCAGCAGACAAGCTCTCTGAGGGACGCCGTGGTCATTGAGCAGGTGGGTGGGCTCCGCTTGTGGCTCAGCTGGAGGGAGGGGTGTGGGTGTGCTGAGGCCGCCCTCCTGGGCTGGCAGGGTCCCCGTGCATCCCCTTCTCCTTCCCACACAATTAGTGCCTTGCTGCAGCCTTTGGCCACACCTCCCCTTTTCCTTCCTGGCCAAGTTCTGTGGCTGTCCAGCTGTTTTATCAGTTTGCCAGAAGTGTCTTCTTCCTCAGGTTTGATCTGAGGCCTGAAGAACAGGCGCCCCCTTCCTACACAAGGGCAGGCTGGCCTTGACTTGTCGCCTCCTCAAGGGGCCCGCTGAGTGGGAACCTGCTTTTCCTGCTGGGGAGCAGGGCCTGTCCCCCTGGGCCTGGGGCCATCGGTGGAGGCTCGGCCACACAGCTCTGCACATTTTGCAAAACCAGTTTTAGGGACAAGCCAGTCTACCAAGTGAGACCGAGATCTCTGGCACCTTTCCTTTGCGGGCCAGGTTCCCCACCCATGCGCTGGGGTGGTCCTGAAGGCGCACGTCATCTGGGCCGGGGGCTGCAGGTCTGAGCCCAGCCGGAGCTCCAGGCGACTGAGGGGCAGCAGGCAGCACAGGCACAGGCCCGTGTGTGCTGGCGCCCTCACTGCCCCTGCTCACACATGGCGCCTCCCACTCACTTCTCCAGAGTTCCTCCCTGAATGAGGCCGGCCACAGCCTTTTCGATTTCTTCCTGCGGCTGGTGCACCACCACATCATCAGGATCGGGGGCAAGTGAGTCAGGGCCCTCACCTCCACCCATTTGACCTCAAGACCTTCTGTGTTGGGCAGCAGCACCCTCCAGACGGGCTGCTGCCACGTGGCTCATGCAGAGAGGCAAGGCCCCCGGCTGCAAGAAGTCCTTTTCTGTTCGATTGCTGGCAGATGATTATTTTAAATTGTGCGAGCAGAGGTGACTGTCCTGGGCAGCTGCCTGCACCAGGAGCCCAGCGTGCGTCTGGTGGGAGTGGTGGTCCTGGGGGAGACTCGGGTCCTTGTGAAGGTCATTAGAGGTCAGCATGCAGTGTGGGAGCTTTCTCTCTAGGATCTTTGTGCGCTAGTGTAAGGACATTATTGTCACACCATAAATAATTACGGTACTTATTAAAATACAATTTCATTAGAAATAGGAGCTAACATCTCCATCCTGGAAAAGCACACATCACAGATGAACAGAAGGGTGAATTTGGACAAAAAGAACACGCCCGCACATGTGTAGAAAGGGCACCTGAGAGGCCCATCCACTTTACTGCTGTAACCTTTGGAAAAGGGGTGTGCCACGTGTGCATCACGTGGCAGGAGGGGAGTGTGCAGTATGACACATGATTCTCATTCCCCCAGTGTGTGCGGTCCTTATATGTGTCCCTAAGTGTAAGTGTGTGTCAATGACAGGAACAGGAGGCCTTCCGTGGCTGCCTGCCTGCTGTCCTAATGGCATCTTGCCCCCAGGTGCTACGTCCAGTGTCAGGGGGTCCCCCAGGGCTCCATCCTATCCACTCTACTCTGCAGCCTATGCTATGGGGACATGGAGAACAAGCTGTTTTCTGACGTTCAGCAGGACGGGTAGGGGCCTTTCTATTCTTTGCACGTATAGATTCGCTTTCGACTGGTTGAGCCCCTGGCCCCCAGAGTGGGCAGGGCGGTGCATTTCTTCACGTAGAGGCCACAGAGATGGTGGGCAGGCTGTGAATGTAGGTCAGTGGCTTCTTATGCAGCCAGGACATGGGGGCGTCCTTGACTCAGGGTCCCTGCTCGTGTGCCCCCAGCCAGGGTCAAACCCCACCAGAAATTTAAGTCTTCCGCTGGGATTTTTGGAGGCCACTTGATTCTTGTCCATATGAACTCAAGATACTTTAATCTTTCTGACGTGTCGAAGGACCTTGTGTCGAAAGCTTACGCAAGACCTTCTCGTTAGGCTGCTCCTGCGTTTGGTGGATGACTTCCTGCTGGTCACACCTCACCTGACACAAGCAGAAGCCTTTCTCAGGTGAGGGCCTCCCCTACACGTCCTCCTCTGACTGCATTGACCTGACACTACCTGTGTGACAGCAGGTGCTTCCTGAAGCTGCTGGCCTCCTGGTGAATGGCACGCGGTCCTGCCATTCTGAGAACTGGGTGTGTGGCCGCCTCATTGCGTGGCAGCGGGGCTGTGTCAGTGGGATCAGGAGGGGGCACAGGGCGGGCAGACCTTGGATAGCAGCTGCAGCCTGGATGGGGTCGCTTTTCTCTGTGGAAGAGGATGGGGAATCGAGACCACCAAGTGCTGGTGTCACGAGGCAGGGGGATCATGTGGTAGAGCTGGTCTGTAAGTTCGTTTTGCTCAAATTCAGTCAGGCATGTGAAGCCTTAGAGCAGCTTTCCTCTGTACTGTCCCTCTCGGGGAGACCCCAGGAATCAAGGGGTTTGTTTTGAAATCAAGGGAGGAAGAAGTTGAAAAACCAAAACCTCACAAAGGGTTGCTACCGAGGGGCAGTTTGCTTGGGTCACCAGGCTGTCTTTGGGGAACCCATCCCTATACCCAGGTCTGCCCATGGGGGTCCCCAGGGCTCAGAGGGTCCCACTGGGAAGCTCTGGTGCTCACATCACATGCCACAGACATTGTGCAGATGCTGTGCAAATGCAGACTCACCAAAGTTAAATCAAGTGACAGTCCACAGGGTCCTGGCTGTATTCAAAGAGCTTAGCCGCACATGGCCAGTGGCTGCCAGAGGGCATCACAGAGAACTCACCTGTGCTGGGTAAAGTTCTGGGGGATGGCACTGATCTGAGGGCACTGGGCAGGGAGCGGACTCGGAACCTTTATCAGGGGTCCACCTGGGAGGTGGCTCAACAGGGACAGACACATGCATATCTGAGAGATTACTGCCAGGAATTGCCCACACTACAGCTGTGGGGCAGGTGCTGGGCTGCAGCCTATGGAAAGACTTCTCTGCTCGGGATACCTTTCTCCTGGGGCCCTTGTACTGGCGGGTGAGCGAGTCCACCCCACTGTGGAGTCACCTGCACTAAAGCCAGGTGACCTCAGACTTGGGTTTGCACACTGGGACCATAGCCTTGCTGAGCGGACCTGCAGACAGGCCACCACACCGAGGGCTTCGTTGCTCGGCTCTGCCTGCCTCTGAGCCCCGCCTCTCCCTGTTCTCTGCTGGGCTCCTGAGCTCGCTGCTCACCTGTCTTACCTGCAAATAGTTGCTGGCATCCTTCAGGATTCAGCTCCGTGTGCCCCTCCCTGTTGCCCATGACTGCCCTCCGGCCTGGCCACACAAGTGTCTCATCATTGGCACCTGGTCACCCAGAGCCTTTGGGGACAGCTGGTGGCAGAGCGGGGCTCTCTGGCCCCCCACTGCGGCTGCCCCCCAGGCCGAAGGGCTGCCCTCGGGCCTCTGGGCAGCATCCTCCTGTGGCTGACATGGCCCCTCTGCCCCAGGACTCTGGTCCAAGGCGTCCCCGAGTACGGCTGCGTGGCCAACTTGGGCAAGACGGTGGTGAACTTCCCCGTGGAGGTCAGCACCCTGGGCGGCACGGCGCCCCTCCAGCTGCCGGCCCACTGCCTGTTCCCCTGGTGTGGCTTGTTGCTGGACACCCAGACGCTGGAAGTGCTCTGTGACTACTCCAGGTAAGCGCCCACTGGGCGGGCACGGGGCAGAGCAGGCCCCTCCTGCTTCCAGGCATAGCAGTGGCCACAAAACCGAAGAGCCAGAGGCTGGGGCTGCGCATCCTCTCCAGAGGTGGGCAGACACACATCCTTCTGTGGACCTACCGGGTGAGTGGTTTCCTGGGCTTTTTGGTAAAAGGAAGTTGTCGGCAGACCCAGGGGTGTGTTCTGCATGGAAGCCATGTACACTGAGCCCAGAGGTCCCAGGACCTGCCCAGCACAAATCTCCTCAGGGCAAGAGACATGCTGTAACCCTGTGTGTTACCTCACTGGACACTCACGGTCACTGTGATCCTTCAAGGGCATGGCTGTGGCACATGGGGCCTGCGCTGTACACATTGGGTCCTTGTCCTCATTGGCTTGGTTGCTGTGAAAGCCACAGGCAGGCGGCTCAGGCAGCGGACATTCACATCCTTCCATCCTGGACACCAAGGTCAGGGGCCAAGGTGGTACCCAGACTGGTTTTGCCAGGGCCTCCCTCTTGGTGTACAGGCGCCACCTTCTCTCGTGTCCTCCCAGGGCCACATCCCACCTGTTCCTGCATCCCTGGTATCTCATTCTCAGAGGACACGATGTCCGAGCAGGCCCCCCTTATGACCTCCTCAAGGTGGCCTTGATCGCTGTCTTAAGGTCCTTGGCTTCCACAGTTGCATGGGGCTTCACCAGGTGCATCTGGGGACATAGCTCAGTCCCTAACAGCGTTCCCACCGGGCCTGAGGGGCCCCCAGCCCAACCCCAGTCTTGGCACAGGTGCCCGCAGATGTGAGATGGATGCAAATGCAGCCATCTCTGCGATCCATGGGTACGAGGCCACTTGGGGCACGGCTGGAGTGAGCTTTGCCTGCCCTCTGCCGCAGCTGCGGCTCCCGCACACCAGGGGCCCCGAGCACCTGCCTGCCTGCCAGCCTGCTTTGCTGCTCCCGCCTCCCAGAGATGAAGCCCGGGTGCTCTCACTGCCATGGCACCTGCACCCACACCTGATGGAGTTCCCCGCCTTGGGACTCAGCCCAGACCCCCAAGGCCTCCGGCCCTCCTTGGCCATCCTGACCCATCCCATTGCCCCCTGCGGGCTGTGCGTGGCAACCACACCCATCGGGGCTGAACCGCCCTCCCCTTGTTTTGCTGTCCACGAAGCTGCGTTCGTTTTTTCTGAGAAAACTAGAAAAACATAAATTACATCTTCATCCTACAGCAAATACAGGAACGAATTCTAGGTGGAGAAGGAATTAAATGCAGGGAAACAAAAACCAACAACAGAAATAGAACAAAAGAGTCCCAGAGACAATAGAGGCAAATGAGGAATGAGCAGGAAGATGGGGGCGGCCGAGCTGGGGGCCCCCCGCACCTGTGCAATAAGGGGCTTCGGAGCCCTCGCCTCGCTGGCTTGAGCCAGGCCACTGAGCACCACATGCACACATCTCACCTGATCCTCAGAAAATGCCCGCGGGGAAACCAGGGCTCTGAGGGCTGAGCCGTTTGCTGCGCAGGGGCCGCAGGATTCAGGCCCAGGCGTGACCCCAGAGCCCACGCGCCTGTGCAGGAACCCCGCTCTGCAGACAGGCGCTTGGAGGGCAGCGTCCACTGTGTCAGAGAAGTTTGTGCAGCCGCCTCCAAGGTCCCTTTGCTCACGCAGGCACCAAGTGTTGTGCATTTCCAAGGAGGCCAAGCAAGGCTGACTTTTCTGGAAGCAGCAAATTTGTGCGAGGTCCATCAGGTGGTCATGTTTCCCTGGTAATCCCACTTCTAGTCATTTACCCTGAAGGAAAGAGATTTCACTGGACCATTTCCAAATGCTCAGGGTCACATGGCTGACCCCAGCAGATAATGAAGTGACCTCAGTCAGTGGCTGGGCAGACCGCATTGCTAAGAAGATACACTCTGCCATTAGGATCATTTCCAAGAACAGGCTGGAAATTTTATTCCACCGTAAAAGCATTTAAAGTTGATACTACAGAAAGTGTCCCAGGATACAGAGTGTATCTCATATGTTCACCTGAAATACGTGCAGAGGACACGCGGGCATCTGCCCAGGGGCACGTTCCTCACTCTTTCCATGTGTCACTCCCGCTGTGAGAGCAGCAGCCATCCGGGGCACCCTGTAAGGCTGGCAGTGGGCGTTTCCCTCCTGGTAGAGCCCCCAGGTGGAAAGGTGCCTGGCGGGGGCTCCAGCACCTCGCTGGGCCACAGTGGTGACCCTGTGGTCTGCTCAGATGGTACCCCAGGAAGGCATGGTTCAGGCGCGTGTCACTGTGGATTTTATTGGTGTGCCCAGTTGCCCATCACTAAAGAAGAAACACATAAAACCAAGGTTCATCCAGGTCATCCAGGGGTTCAGGGCATGTCATGGGCCAGGCCACAGGCTGTGGAGCACCCACCCCTGCTTTTTTGGCCAGGATCTGGGAGGCAGGGGGCGGGAGGTGGCCTGGAGCCCAGTTTCCCACGAGGATGGGGGTGCTTGAGTGGGACATGCGTGCCAGGTGTGATCAGAGCATGCACTTGACCCCATGAGGTGGATATGTGTTTACAAGACTCACCTTGTGTTACAGTTACGCCCAGACCTCAATCAAAGCAAGTCTCACCTTTAACCAGGGCTTCAAGCCTGGTAGGAACATGCGTCGCAAGCTCTTCGCAGTCCTGCGACTGAAGTGTCATGATCTGTTTATGGACCTGCAGGTGAGCACACTCAGTGGGCACCTGGCTGACTTCCAAGCTCAGCCCACTGGCTCATGGTCTGTGTGAGGTTTGCATGGTTATGGCTCTTGTTAGTGTGTGCTTTGTGTGTATGTGGATGGGTGTGCATGAGTGTGGAAGCATGTATGTATGTGTGGATGCACGAGCAGTGCATACCTGTGCATTCTAAGTGTGCTAAACCTTGCACATACATGTGCGTGCACAAGCAATGTGTGTGTCAAGTGTGTTTTCCTGTTGAGCGTGTGTGTGGGGGCATGCACATGTGAGTGTGTGTGCATATGCTGAGGGCCTGTTGCCCTCACCCCTCCACTGCCCCATCTTCTTTGGCACCGGGTCCCCTCCCAGCTGGGTTGGGTGCCGCCTCCCCACCCCTTCCTGCCTGACCTCCCGTCAGGTGGCCCAGCACAGTCCTGACAAGCGCAGCAGGGAGAGGTCGCCCTTGAGGCCCCAGCAGCACTGCACCAGAGAGACTGACGGTTTCTTACCGAACAGCCCCCTTTCCTACCCCGTGTGACCAGGGGGTAAAGCAAGGTAGGAACTGAAATTGCAGGTGCATCTCAGCACCTCTTTTCCTTTGCGGCTCCAGGTGAACAGTCTCCAGACGGTTTGCACAAACGTGTACAAGATATTCCTGCTTCAGGCCTATAGGTGGGTTCATCAGGCCCCACGCCTCAGTGCTGCCTCCGCCCCGGCTCCCACACAGCCTGGAGAGCCCCCCGCTCGCTGGGCCCCAGGTCTCCTCTGTGGAATGTCAGTCGATGAGGAAGTGGCACTTGCATGTTTTCAGCGATGGATGCTGCCTCTTCATCCATGTCCACTTTGCTTTGTTGGGGTCACCAGGCAGTGGCGGGAGGCCAGCATGGCCAGTGCATCCCCGTGTCCCTACACAGAACTATGCAGGGGCCGTTCTGCAGTGGGAGGGGGCTCGTAGGAGAAGGGCTGTGGGGAGGAGACAGGCAGCCCCCACATAAAGTGGGAGGCAGACATCCTGGGGGTTAGATCCTGAGAGCACAGAGGGTCCCGGCAGGGACAGGTTGGGGTCCACAGCTCCAAAACCCCATGTCCCCAGAAAGGCAGTGGGACATGGCTCCCAAACAGCTGAGCCACCACTCCCACCCCACTAACCAGCCCATCTGTGGCCCAGCTTCTAGAACAAACCATGTCCCTGTGGCTGCGTGGCCAACCTGCTGAAGGCTGGGCGTGGGTACTAGTTGTGTGGCTCATGGAGTGGTTGTGCTTGTTTGCGTCTTTAGTGGGGAAAGGTTTGCACTTTCAAGCTATGCTGTTCCCTCAAGAAGACAGATGCCCCTCTGTGCCCTTTATGGCCTCAGGGACTCAAAGCCGCAGGGATCTGCCCCAGGGAGCTCAGAAAGGCAGCTCAGCTCTGAAGACTTTACTGCAGGGAAAGCGCAGCCTGAGTCGGCAGATGGCACGAGGGCAGACAGCACAGCGGCTGTCTCCTGGGTTAACAGAGCCAAGCATCCGTCTGGAGGCGCTGAGAGTTGTTGCACGGGGTGTATGTGTGCAGCGAGGCTGTGTCTCATGGGCACTGGTGGTCCTCACAGAGGAAATTCCTATGGAAAAGTCCGGCCAGGAGAAAACTTACAGCCCCAGAGTCTGTGGCCTGTGTCTGGGCCACGGGCGGGGCAGGCACCTCGTTCCCTCTGTGTCCGGGAGGCATGGAGCTCGTGTGCTCAGCCCACTGTCCTCTTTGTGGCTCTAATCCTCCTCCATCCACCTCCTCCTAACCACACACCTGCCCCTCGCTGGAAAGCCGCCCTGGTGCCTCTGGAAGTGTGCTTGGGGCATGCATGTGAACAGGCCCCTGTGCCATGCACAGTGGGGCCTGCAGGTGCCCAGGGCTGGTCAGGGCAAGAGGAGCAGTCAGGCAGCCCCGTCCCTGCTGGCTGGCTCACCTGCACCCCTGTGCAGCCAGCCCGGCCTCACCCTGCATCCCCCCACCAGGGGGCCCCCTGCTGGGGCGCCTGGCCCTGGACACCTGCCCCCAGGACTGTTGTGGAGACCTGGGTTCAGGGAGGTGCCCTCTGGCAGGGCCATGCTCTTCAGGGTGCAGTGGGCCACTGGCTTCCCTGCCCACGGGCACAAAGGTCAGCTGCTTCCGAATTTGAAGTGTAGGCGCTTGTGAGGCTCCAAGAATGGGACGGGGTGGGGGAGGGGAGTGTAGCTGAACTGGGATGGTCGCAGTTAAGGCTGGTGTGCCCATGTGGCACCTGGAGCAGGGCCCAGCCCCTTTCACGGCAGAGTGCGGGCTTTGGGCTGGTGTCGGGGACCTCATGTTCACCAGCAGAGGCCTCTCCCCACTCTGCACTGAACCCCATCCCTCCCTCGGGAGAGGGTCCCCACCCACAGAGCATGCTCCCTTCCCCGGCCTACGTGGTGGCCCTGACCCTGGGACCTGGGCATGTTATCACATTACCACCCCGTGAGTGGGGAAGGTCCTTCCCACCCAGATGGAATCGTGTGTGTGAAGTCAGTTGCCGGCCAGGCCAGTACACAAGCACGCTGCTCTGGGTTGGTCACGGCAGTCAGTGAGACCAGTGAGGGGCTTACCACATGTGAACATGTGTGGATACAAATTAAATGCACGCTTGCACTTGCAGACGCATACACGCCTACGCACACACATGTGGGCACATCCCAAGGCCCCTCTCGGCCTGCCACTCCCTCAGGTTCCACGCATGTGTGCTCCAGCTCCCGTTCAGCCAGCACGTTAGGAAGAGCCCCTCGTTTTTCCTCCGGGTCATCTCTGACACCGCGTCACGCTGCTATGCCCTTCTGAAAGCCAAGAACCCAGGTGTGTGCAGCTGCAGGGCATGCCTGGTGGGGATCGGGGTCACCTGGGTGATTCATGCCCTCAGCAGGAGCAGTACCCACCCTGGAGGCAGGGGCAGGGCAGGGAGTTGGCTTGCCACACCATGCCGTCCATCTTGCTGGCTGCCTGCTGGCCTCTCACCACCCTCTGCTGTGTGGGCCAGTGGCCTGCGTGGCAGAAACATGGCTGGATGTTCGATCCCCACTTGCTCTGTCCTCCTGGGTGGGTGCTCTCGGTGCTCTGGAAGTGCACAAGCCTGAGCCTGTGGTTAGGAGGAGGCTGTGGCCGCTCCTGTCTGCTTCCGGCCTGTCCTTCCCCTGCCCCACATCCTAGAACAGCCTTTGGAGCCACATCTCAGGTCCCCTTGGCCTCCCTGCGGACATTTCTGAGCAGTCAGAAGTTCAGGCCACACTGTGTCTCCGTGGTCCTGAGTTTGACAGACTTTGTTTTGTGGACGTTTCTTTGGACGAGTTGAAGAGCGGGTTTCAGCTGAAGGAGTTCCATGGTGTTTGTGTGGGCAGGGCCAGAAATGAGACCCCCGTGGTTCTCCCCGCTGCCCCGCCCCTGGCCGCAGCCTACCCGCATGTCCCCCCAGGGATGTCGCTGGGCGCCAGGGGCGCCTCCGGCCCTTTTCCTTCTGAAGCTGTGCAGTGGCTCTGTCTCCACGCCTTCCTGCTCAAGCTGGCGCGCCACAGCGTCACCTACAGGTGTCTTCTGGGGGCGCTCCGGGCAGGTAAGTGCGCTGAGTCAGCTCTGGCCCCAAAGGCCTCTGACCTGGCACAGGCCCTGTCCTTGTGTGCACCCGCCACCGCAGAACCACGACCTCCAGCCCTCCAGCCTGCACGACTTTCCGCGCATCCCGCTGCCCCCGTGCCTCTGCCTGGCTGCCTGGTGTCCCAACAGTGGCTCCGGGGTCCCTGTCCACGCTCAGCGTGGTGGGCTGAGGTTCCGCCACCAGGAGCCTGGCCTGCACACTGGGCGCTCAGCACACACACGTGTCTGCCCAGCCTCAGCAGAGCCCTGGGTAGTGTGGGGTCGCTGTTTCTGGGAGGAGGTTTGACTTTGTTCTCCTTACAGCCAAGGCCCGGCTGAGCCAGCAGCTCCCCAAGGTGACCCTGGCTGTTCTGGAGGCAGCGGCTGACCCGGCCCTGACCACAGATTTCAAGACCATCTTGGACTGAACACCAACCCTCCCCACATCCCGCGTCGGGCTGCAGCCTGGCACACTGTGGGAGGGGCTGCTGCTCCCTGAGCCTGGTCCTCTCCCGGAGCCCCGGGAATGGGGCCTGCCGGCCAGGCTGCTCTGGGGAAGGGGCTGGCCTGCATGTCTTAAGGGAAGCAGGACCTGCCCACTGCCACCTTCTGGGGACCCGGGTGCCATCCTTTAGCTGCTGGCCACCAGGAGGAGGCAGGTGGGAGAACCTGGGTGGGCACAGGGAGTGTCTGGGTCCTTTGTCGCCCTCTTCACTGCGGGGCTGTCCCAGGCAGGAGCCATAACACATGTGTCCCCAAGGGCACAGGGAGGTGTGTGGACACCGCCTCCTGTCCTGCACAGCCCTGCCCTGCCTTCCCGACCGCCCCACCCGCCTTCCCTGGAGATGCATCCAAAGTTCCAGCCTCAGGCTTCCGGAAAGCAAAAGGCCCAGTCAGCTGTTTGTGGCCCAGCCGACCCCGCCCAGCCGTGCCCCCAGCCTCATCCTTTTCCTCACGCCCACACTGGCACCTGGACCACCGGTGTCCAGACACGTCCCTGCACACGGCCCAGGCCATACTGACCACCCTCCATGCGGCATCCACAGCCCACCCCCCCTCAGGCTCTACCTCCACCCGCCACCCCAGGAGCAGGGGGGCAGGGAAAGGAAAGAAAATATTGTGCCTTTGTTTATTTTCCATAGTTTTAAGTTTTTCTTACATATTAAAATGTGCACTGCACAGGTACCATAGCCTGTAATTTTAGAAACTCAAGCATTGTGGGTTGTGTGATGTGCAAGGATCCTTGGCCTGGCAGGGGGCAGAGGGGTTTCTGGGGCAGGAGGTGAGGGAGGGAAGGGGAGGCGGTGGTGGGGAGAGCACCCCTGTGGGGCAGGTGCAGAGGGCAGCAGGGGGAAGGGGTGAGTGGGTGGCAAGCCCAGCACGCTGAGCCTGGCCCCTTCCCTCTCTCTGCTGCTGCCCATCCTCCGGCCCTGCATCGTGCAGCCAGTCCCTTCCCATCTGACCCCCATCAGTCCCTTCCATCCCCCAAACCCCTGGGGTGACCCTGCCCTGCCCACTTCTGCCTCCTGACCACCATGGGCCTCCATTGCCCAAGTGCCATCATGCCCATTTAGTGGCCTCAGTGCCCAGGAGGAGCACACGGGGCAGATGCCCCGGCCACCTGGCACCTGGGAGAGAGACGGGGTTCTGTTGAAGTGGGGGGCTGTGCAGAGGGAGAGCCGGATGGGCCTCCGAGGAGTCCTGCTCACACGGGGTGGGCCCTGCGCTGCAGAGGCTTCCCATGCTGCAGGCAGCAGGGCAGCCTGGGGAAGGGGGGTCCTGAAAGGCCAGGCTGGGATACGTGCCTGCTCAGGGCCATGGCTGAGGCTCTGGAGGGGGCTGGGCTTAGGGCCCCCAAGACACAGACAGAGGTGGGCAGCCCCTGACCGGGCAGAGGCCAGGTGCCCAGAGAGGGCTAGGGAGGTGGAGGTGAGCTGCGAGGTGCTCCCCATCCCTGAGTTCCTGGTTCAGCAAGACTTGGGGCAGGTGCCTGGAGTTTGCATTTTTCTCCAGGTCCAGAGATACTGGTGCTGCAGGCAGGGGCCCACACCGAGCCCCCTGCTCAGGGGGTGGGGGGAGCTTGGAGGCTCCTGAGGCGTCCTCTGCAGTGGCCCTGGGTGCTGCAGCCAGCAGCTGGCTTATCCAGGCCAGGGTCAAGAGTGGAGGTGGGTGGGGTGCAAGATTTGGGGGCTGAGCAGAGGCCGCAGGGGGGGAGGTGGCTGGAGACTGTGGAGGGGCTCTTGCGGAAGTGGGGAGCCTGGGGCCTTGGTGATCGTGAGGAGGGGCTGCCCTCTTCACTGTAGCTGAGCCAGAACCCCCAGCATCGTGATTGGACCCCCTTCCAGGTCTGCCCCAGCCTTAGCAGCTGTGGGGGGCCCTGTGGAAGTGTCCCCCTGGAAGGGTGCCTGTCCACAGAGCCGCCGGTCCTGCCAGGACACTGAGCAGGATTTTGCCATCTTCCTCTGTTGAGGAAGAGGCCCCGAGCAGGAGACAGCAGCATGTCCTCCCAGACCAGTACATGGGGCCGTCCCGCGTGCAGGTGCTGGACAAACGTCCTTGAACCCAGAACAGCACAAAGAACAGGAAGGGAGCAGGTCAAATGGGCACCTGTGAAGGAGGGTCCCCAGGGGCACTGGCTCTGCCCAGCCCAGAGGCAGCACCAGGCCAGTGAGTGGCATATTGATACCGGTGAGCAATTCCCAAGGCTTCCTTCCGGCATGTCCCTGACGGGCCTCTCTCCTGGCTGGGCACTGTCCAGTGTACCTTGGCCAGGGTTGGTGTCGACTTCTGCGGCCCAGATTGCCGGAGCGTGAGTGGATGTCGCATGTCAGCGTTTATGGTGATTACCTGGTTTACTGTTGCTGGGGACAGTGGCCAAGGGACCGAGCTGATGCATTTTATGGCAGACCCAAGTCCACGTGCAGTGCCGGCCCAGTGGTGCCCTCGCAGTTGTAAAGAGGGAAGGACTGATGCACCACCCAGGGCAGGTCACAGACCCAATGGGGACATAACGGGGACACTGCAGGTACCTGAGCTGACCTGCCACCGGCCACACCGGGCTCACAGCACACTGAGCCTGTGTCTGGCATTTCTGCATGGAACCAGATCCACAGGGTCAGTCATACGATCACCCATCTCCCACAGGCCCTGGAAAATGTACTTTGCTGTGACTTCACTTGGGAGTGCTTTTATGTTGATGGAAGTGGCCCACCCTTGAAAAAGGCATATGCTTTGGTCAGGCTTTTAAAACCACTACATAAACTGTCAGATCTCAGCAAAACACGAAAATAGTAAAATGTTTAAAAGCAAAAAAAAAAGATCTAGCTTTTGACCCTCCCTAGATCTACCATGCATGTCAGGCAGCTGAGCTGCTCAGACACCCCACAGACACTGGTGGGCAAGTGACAATGCCCTGGGACCCCAGAGTGCTGAGTGGTCACCCCAGCCCTGTGACCCTGGTGTGTGCTGCATGCCTGGCCGTGTGGGGGCCCGCCTGTGAAGGACACCGTGGAGCCAAGGGCTTTCTAAACTTGGGCAGGCTTGGGCAGAATAATGATCCCCAAAAATGTCCACGCCCGTGTCCAACCTGTGAGGGAGTTACGTGGCACAGCAAAGGAGGTTACGGGCACAGGTGGCATTAGGTGACCAATCAGCTGACCTTGAGCTGAAGGGAGCCTCCTGAACTTCCAGGTGGACCTCATGGGATCTATCCCTCACTATGGAAGGAGCTGAAGAGACACGTGTCAGAGGAATGGCTGTGAGAAGGCTCACTGGCCGTTGCTGCTGCTTGGTGGAGAAGGGGGCCGCCAGCCAAGGACTGCAGGGGAGGGCAACGCGTGGGGCTCGCCCTACCTGGGGTCGTAGGACACACTTTGGGGGGCACTTCTGCATTCAGCCCACTTTAGTGGCTGTGCCTGCACCTCTGTTCGTGCGGGTCTGGGCTGACAGGGCAAGGCCAGCCCCCGTTTGGCTGGGACAGGCTGCCTGTAACCTGCCTAGTTTGTGTGGGGGTTTCAGTCCCCCTGGACAGTGCCTGCCCCACCTGGGACTCGTGACAAGGCTTAGAAAGGGTGTCGGGGTCTTCACTGGGCTGTTCCCAGCAGCAGGAAGCCAAGGATGCATGTGGTCCCTGTGGCAAGTGAGAAGCAAGCTTGTGTGTCCAGGGCCCTGCGCCTTAGAACGGGGCTGGGGCTGGGGTGCTGTGGGGTGAGGGGGGAGAGAGAGAAGAGGGATGGGGGGCTGCCTAGCAGAGGAGTGGGCTGAGTGATGGGGAGGCAGGGGGGTCTGGGGACCCTGGAGGACTCAGAGATGGGCACCAAGGGCTGCTCAGAGGGCATGACGCGGGCAGGGACAGGCAGTGGAGGGGCGGCCAGGAGTGAGTGGGCGAGGTCCCTTGGCCTCTTTGTTTCTGGGGACACAGGTGACCCTGAGGCTGCTGCACGAAGGGGTCTTGAAGCAGTGGCCCTGCAGACCCCCAGCCCCTGGCAGCTCCTACTCATGGGCACACGGGAGGAGGGCCTGCCCTGGGCAAGGGTGGGCAGCTGGGGGTTTCTCTGTGATAGCTGTTCCTCTGCTGCCTGGCCGCACCCCAGAGGCCCCTCCACTTGGAACACGGTTACAGCAGACCATGCCCACGACCCCAGTCCTCTAAGTGAATAAAGGGCCTTCCTCTGAGCTCACCGTGGGGACATCCACTTCTTGGAGGTCAGCCGCGCAGATCCTCCCAGCTCGAGTGGCCTGAGGTCCCCAGCTGCCCCCAGCTGCAGAGGGTGTGGCCATGGGCCTTCTCAGAGGCTCCTCTGCCAGCCTGCTTGGTAGTTGGGACCCCCGCCCACACACGCCATTGTGTTTACACACTTGCAGGCACAGCATATGACCACCCAGATCGCACCTGCAGGACCCCAGATGGCAGGGCCCTGGCAGCCGGACCAGGCCACCTCCAGTTTGTCGAACAGCATGGACCATGTTGAGCTGGGGTGTGCCATGAGCCGGGTCTGGAGAGCACGGGGGCATCAGGTAACAACTACCACGGGTCTCAGGGTCAGAGCAAGTGTGTAATGCAGTTGGGTGCTCTGCTAGCAAGCAGCACAGGGGCCCGGCCTTCCCTGTGCCCGTCCCTGGCCCTCAGCAGCTTCACCACGGTCCTGCTCAGCATCCTGCCTCCGTCTGCACCTGAAGAGCAGCTGGGCCAGTGCAACGGCAGGGACCCACAGGGAGGGTACAAAGGACAGGAGCACACAGGTGGTCCGTATCCAGCCCGGGTAGGACTTCTCCTGCCTCCAGGGGAACTGCGCCTGTGGGCACACACGGCCTCGGGTGGGCATCGACAAGGGGAGGGCACCGCCCTACTGGCTCACCACGGATGGAGCGGGACTGATCTCCAGCCACAGTGGCAGAGAGAGTGGGGCAGCTTCACCCGCCACTCCCAGGTGGGTGGGAGGGAGAGGCCCAGGCCAGAGGGGATGCAGGAGCCAAGGTTCCAGCGGGTGGGCCGAGCCTCTTGGGGGCCTGAGCTCTGCATTCTGGGGAGAGCTGCCCATCCGCCCGAGGGGCACCGTGGTTCAGGGGACTGCCCAGGAGGGCCGCTGGGCACCCTGGGAGTGTGAGGCGGGGACACCGCCCACCTGACCTCAGGCCCCTTTCCTGAGTCTTGATGAGGCGCTGGGGTGCGAACCTAGGCGGACGGTATTCACTAAGGCTCTGAGGCTAGAGGGCCCTTCCCCTGGGTGCACTGGACAATCTGGGGAGCTGCCCCTCTGAGGAGACTGGAGTGATTTCTTCCAGCTCCCGAGAAAGGGTGGCACAGAGGTCCTGAGTTCACCTTGGCCCCGCAGCTCTGAGCAGGGCAACGGCCAGCGCCAGATGCGACCGCACACCTCTCCCTCTGACCTCCCCCACCGGCAGTTCAGTGACAAGTGTGCAAGCCTGTATCTGGTCTTAGAACAGGTGGGTGTTTAGCGTACCTGTCTGCACACAGGATGTGTGGCTCAGGCACAACCCCATGGGAGGAACTGTGGGGACCTGGGAGCTGCTCCTGGCCCACCGGCCCAGGTTGCCAGGGCTGTGGGAGTTGGCTCTGGTGCCCCCAGGGTTGCTGGGGGTCTGTCCCGGGTCTCCTGGCAAATGCAGCCCACATGATTGCTTAGGGACCAGTGTCCACCGAGAGGTCCTCTGGGCCCTGGAGGGCAGCAGGGAAGGGATCCCAGCACCCCACCAAGGGACCTACATATTGGGGGTCCCAGGCCTTGTAGCTCAGCGGCGTCCAGGCCAGGAGGACAGCATAGGTCGCAAGGATGGTCAGCAGCAGCAGGGGGCTGACAGCCTTCCAGGTCACCCGCCAGTAAAGGCCAGGCCGCCTCCCTGTCATCCACGCTATGTCATCACAGAACCTGGCACAGAGATGCCAGGCTTAGGCCGTCCCACCCTGTGCCTGCAAGCCCACCCTCTTAGCCGGCAGCCTCCGTCCAGGGGCACGGAGACGCGGCCTGCGGGTGCTGTCCTGAGGGCCACTGCGGCCTTTGCCCCTGCACTTCCCAAGTGCCCCTTCTGGGTCCCGAGGAGCACCCCGCCCAGGAGGGACATGCACACTGAATGGCCCCTCCTGGCCTTGCCCTATCTGGCCCTGCCCTATCCGTGCTGCTGTGCCTCTGAGGGAAGGAACTGTCCCCTTAATGATGTGCAGCCGACAGGCGACCGAGGGCCCACCCCAGCCCACTGCCCTGGCCCCCGGGTGTCAGCTGACCTTGTGAGTGGCTGCCCAGCTCTGCCATAGCCCCACTCTGCGACCCATGTCCTGGCCCCCAACCCTGGGTCAATATGCAGGCAAGGGCAGATGAGCAGGCCTGTCTGGCTGGGCAGATGGTGCTCCTGGAGGCTCCTGGCCCCTGACCACTCTAGGGAGGAGGCCAGCCCGCCCCGGGGAGTTGCCCCAGGCAGGACTGTGGGTTTCTCCTCCAGGGGAGGGACAGAGGTGACCTGGGCCACATGTCAGCTACACCCAGGAGGACAGCACCTTTTTCACCTCCCTGCCTGTCTGCTCCCCACCTTCAGCTGCCCTCCTGAGCCTCCTTTTGAGACCCCATGGCCAGTCACGTCCAGGGGCTCACCATTCCCCATGTCACCTGCCAGCCCTCCAGACAGCTGCCCCTCTCCAGCTGGGCAGAGTCCCAGCTTGGAACAAGCCTTCTGGGTCCTGTGCCTACAGAGCTACAGTGAAGGCCCTGGTGTTCAGGAACTCCCAGGACCCTTGGAATACAAGGACAGAGGTCACAACATCTAGGACCCTCTGGGCGGGCAGGAGTGCTGGTGTGGGACAGGTGAGTCCAGGTGTGCTGTGGGCAGAGCCAGGTGGGGATGGGCAGAACTGGGGCCAGGCTTCTTGGTGGCTTCCAAAATGGGGTCTGGTGTCCTTGGACTTTGGAGCCCGCCCTGTATGGCTGGAGACTGGCGTTGTGTCACTTGCCTCCCCACAGGCTGGAGGCCTGTGCAGCCAGGCGGGTGGGCAGGGACACCCAGGGGCTTCTCTGGCCCCGAGGAGCCCCTGCTCCGACCCCTGATTCATTCTGGGAGGACCTCTGATGGTCCCATCTGGTCCTGGAGCTGCCTTGATGCCTGTACAGGGCTTGGGAAGCACAGGGCCGTTCCCCCGGGTGCCCGTGGCAATCTGGGGCAGTTCCTAACCCGGTCCTCAGGTGGACCCTGAGGGGAGGTGGGACTCACCGCTCCATCCCGTAAACATAAGCAACGCCCACCACCTCAAAGAAGGCAAAGACCAGCAGGTTCATGGAAGCGGTGAAGTTGTCAAAAATCTCCAGCCAGTAGTTTCCAGACTGCAGCGTGAAGCAGATCGCCACGAGGAAGCAGACCAGGCAGGTCACCCCTGAGGGGACAGGGACCCTGCTTCTCTGGCGCCCAGGGGACAGTGACCCACCTGTCCGCACCTCCCGGCTCCCTGCACCTCAATCCCTGCCTGCTTCCAGCACCGTGCTGCAGGGTAGAGGGGTCAGCGCAGGCTTGGGGCAGAGCTGCTCCCCGCCCCACCCAGCTGGGCTCTCCCGTGATAGGCCCTCAGGGGACATCATGTCAGAGAAGGGCTGTGGGGTCCAGCCCCAAGAGGTGGCAAGACCAGCCCCAGCCTTCTGGGCAGAACGCCGGGAGCAGCAGGACAGGGCGGCCCTCCCAGACGCCGGGTTCCCACTCACCAGTCAGGACCTCCTTGGAGACCAATCTGGGCATGAGCCCCATGTCCAGGAGCGGTGTGATGATGCCCTCCATGTTCCCGAACATGGACGACAGGCCCAAGGCAAACAGCATCCCG